GATCCATCAAGAAAATCCAAAAACTGGGCTTACCTGAAAGCTTCGATCAGCCTCTTAAATCTCCATGCAGTCGGCCGATCTAGGGCTGCAGGAATGAATCTCTTCAAGAACCTTCAACCTGCTCTGATACCAAGTAGAAAGCCTTATGTGCTGATTTCGGCCAAGCTTCTTGTGAAAGGAAGAGGAGAAAAGTTGGGGATTTCAGCAATAGACAGAGGAAAGGGAAGAAAAGAGAAGATGGTCCACTAGGATAGTGATCATGAATCCAAGCCGCCAGCCCCTCATTCTATTTATAATTAACTTAAATATGAGATATTACAAAGATGCCCCTAGTAGGGCGGCAGCTTAACTAAGTACTTACAATTCCTTTAAAAATAAAAGACTAATGGGCCCAAGGCTCAACAACTTCTTAAAATAAAAGAAAACAAACTAAACATAAATCGGCCCAACATAAATCAGCCCACTCAACAAAAAGTAAAGAGCAGATCAATTTACCTTAGACCTCTTCAGCTTTATAATTTTGGTATCTCTCTGCAATTTGACAGTAGTAGTGGTTTTTTGTATCACTTTGTTTCATATCATTCTTATTGTCTTTCCTTCTAATATTTCTGATGGACTATCCTAGTAATGCAATGAAGTCAACAATAAGGACATAATCATCAAATTCTTTGCCCTCCCACTTATGTGCAGGATTAATCTCATCGAGTTCCTTGGTCTTCTCAGTTAGATACCCAAGTTTTCCTTTTCCTCCAATGAACATCCCAATTGATTGACACTTTGAAGACAGTGTTAACACTTTGTCATACATCCCTAGTGGAATTAACCTCAAAACTTCTACTTGCACCCATAGGGAATGAGCACTGATGGAAGAAATCAAGGTTCAAGGGTATATATAAGATCTACTCCCAAGAACATAAATCAAGCATTGTCATCTGGTAGAATTTTTCTGGTATCCAAGGTGGTTGCCTGGTATGACAGATGATGCCAACAGGCCATGATGATGATGAACAGAGCCTTGGATCATGTGTATGATGCTTTGATACCAGTGTGTTATTTCTGCAATGATTTGAGTGTGAGTAGATTGCTTTTAACGTTTTTTTTTTAAACATAGATTGTTACACATATCTTCAGATATATCCTTAAGGTTGACTATATAGAGTTAAAGAAGCCACAAAATACTTGCCAGACATCGAGGATTGAAACTTGTAATATTGTGTTAGGATGATCATAATGCACTTGGATTTTTGGCTGATAGCCTGGACATTTTGAAAAGCAGAGTATGTGGGGTGATGCCTTGTGACCTGTTTCTTTGTATCCTCTTTTTCTTTTAATAAATTTTTATTTTGCTATACAAGAAACAGAATGACACACTTGAACAATAGAACAAGGATAATAGTTTGGTAGGAACCAATTTCATTATTTCACTTCAATTCTTCCTTGGTTTAGGTCTTTGATGGACATGGAGGGAAGCATGCTGCTGATTTTGCCTGTAATCATTTACCAAGGTTCATCATAGAGGATGAAGATTTCCCAAGGGAGATTGAGAAGGCTGTTTCTTCTGCATTTCTTCAAACTGATTCTGCTTTTGCAGAAGCTTGCTCTATGGACACAGCTCTTGCTTCTGGAACAACTGCGCTGGCAGTTCTTGTTTTGGGGAGGTTAGGTCCTTTATGTTCCACTATGCACTCTCATTTCCTTCAGTCACGATTCTATTTTCTTCTTCCCATCCATTGCTATATGAGCATCACATCATTTATGTGGCCAAAAACCTTATCTTTTAGGTGACGATGATTGCTTTCTTTCCTTATTTTCTTTATTATTATGGACATTTTTGTTCCTTAGATTCAATGTATTCAACACATCTTACAGTTCAAAAAAAAAAAAACTGTATTATAGTTCTGTCAATACTTTGATTGTACTCTAGGTGAGCTATACCCCAGTTAAAAGTGCATGATGCCATTTAGTTGATGCCTAGGACTTAGTGGATCCTCTTAGTGATATACACAGATCTTACATTATTATGTTATCACTTAATAAGAATTATTAATGATATATAACAATAAGTGCATAAGCACACACATCACTTACTTTATTTCTCATAATTAGTTTTAAATCTCAGAAATCTTGCCTTTAATTTTGATACTATGTCTAAAAGGTGTGTCTTGTGCAACAATGATGAGGAGTCTGTTGATCACCTGTTTCTTCACTGTGGCTTCACTCACAAAATCTGGGTGAGAATTTTCAGAATTTTTGCAATAAGAAGTTGCTGGCCAAAATCTTTGGCGACTTTTGTAAACAGCTGGAATTTACAAGGCCTAAGCAAGAAAGGGAAATGGTTATGGCATCTGATTCCAAGTGCAGTGTTATGGGTGATCTGGAAAGATAGAAATTCAAGGATATTTTAAAACAAAAGCTGTCAAGAAGACGAAGTGTGGCAGAAGATCGTGGGGAAGCTCTGTTCTTGGTCATCAACTAAGCCAATGGTTTTGTGGTTTGAACCTATTCTTGTATCTCTTTTGTACAGCCTCTGGTTGTACTCTTCTTTTTGAATGAATTGATACTTAACTTCTTATCAAAAAAATTTTGATACTATGTCTGGAATTTTGGATGAAATATGTTGGTTATTGCCCAATATGGGTGCTTCTTCGAGGGAATTTGCAAAGAAGGCCTTTATGGAAGTGGAAGAAAATACTGGTAGTTTGTTGAAGGTCCATGAGAAGGACAGCTTGAATTCTGTGGAAAAATCTACAGTCGTTGAGGTGAAGGATGTGGTTTTGACAGCAGAGCAAGTTTTTGAGAAGAATGTGGTTCTAGAACTTTTGAAAGGATTAGTGATAATCTTGGGGAGAAGAAGAGTTTTGAGGTCATTTCCAACACATTTAAAAGATTTGGGCACCAAAAAAATAACTGAATTGTGCCAGTATCAAAGGTTTTTTTGCTAGATTAAGGGGAGGTTTATTTAGGGTTGGAGTTGACAAGAGGATGAAGAAGGCAAAAAAAAGTCATGAAGAGAAAAAAAAGAGGTTAGTTTTCAAATGATGGATTGAAGTGAATGGACTTTGTTTTCTGTATATGTGAAGGGGAAGTGAATGGGTTTTGTTTTATGAAGAGTTAACAAGAGGATGAAGAAGGCAAAAAAAAGTCATGAAGAGAAAATAGTTTTCAAATGATGGATTGAAGTGAATGGATTTTGTTTTCTGTATATGTGAAGGGGAAGTGAATGGGTTTTGTTTTATGTATTAGGAGGGCTGTTTAGATTTGTTCTAAGGAAAGTTGAGATGGGGGATAAGTCAGGGGCCTTGGGCATTTTCTTTTGGGCTTTTCTTGTGGCTGGCTGTGAGAGTCTTGTTGGGTCTGGTTTGTGGTAGGTAGTTTTGTTAGTTTTTTGGGGTGGTTTGGTTGTTTATTGGTGTTGGGTGATGCATTATCACATTTTTGTAATCATTTTTCTTTAGTTTAATAAATTTTCTTCTTTATTTGTCTTCAAAAAAAATCCTACTTCAACTAGGAGTTGCTTCTGGTCTGTTTTGAAGTTTAAATTGGAGCCTATAAAGGTAGAACTAAGCCTCTAAGTTGAGTACAGATGTAGTCCTTGTAATTAAGATTTTAAAAGAAATTTATTTTGAAGTTACATGCGAGTTAGATTGTGTTCTAACCTTGAAGCTGGAAGTTCCTTTGGAGTTTGGACTACTTGATTATTGAGGTGGAGGGAGATTCACAAGTTATTGGTGTGTGAGAGCCTCGGCAAGGGGAATATTCATGCACGAAGGGTCTTTCCAGAATTTCAGCCTATTGCCATCCCCAACTTTGTATTCCAAACCTTCCGAGAATAAAGGGAAAGCTTTCATAATGCCCTCCCACAGAGAACAGCCCCAAGTCTGAAAAGAATCCAAGGACTTCCAATTACCCCACTCAACACCAAATTTAGCAGCTATAAGAGACCTCCACCAAGCATCTCTTTCAGAGCCAAATCTCCAATGCTTACTCAAGAGAGCAGAGTTAAAAGTCTTAAGTTTTCTCACTCCCAGGCCTCCTCCTTTCATAGGCAAACAGACCTGGTCCCAGTTAACCAAATGAGGTTTCCTGTCCTCTTCCCAACTTCTTGGATACCTTGGAGGAGATGGGAAAGAGGGAAAGAAAGTATGTCGGAAGGTTTGATAAAGTACTTTTTAACAGAGTTACTCTACCCCATGAAGAGAGGTGTTTAGCCTTCTAGGAAGCCAACTTCTTCTCCATTCTTTCTATTACTGGATCCCAGATAGCAGAGGAGGTGCATTTAGCCCCAAGAGGGATCTCCAAATATTTCCCGAGGAGATGATTCATCTGACATGCCAAAACCTCAGCCAACTCCTCCAGATTTTTCTACTTGTCTCATTGGAAAAATCACACTTTTCCCCAAGTTTACGTTAAGCCCAGACACAGCCTCAAACCAACAAAGGATGCCAAGCATAAAATCAAGCTGATCTGCAGAAGGATCAATAAAGCACAATATGTCATCAGCAAACTGGAGAAGATGAACCTTCTCCTAACCTAGAGAGATCTCAAAACCATCCCACAAACCTTCTGCAACAACCAACTTGCTGAACTGAGTAAACACTTCCATGAGATAAGATGAAAAGCAAGGGAGAGAGGGGGTCCCCTTGCCTAATCCCTCTAGAACTTTCAAAGAAGCCCACCACTTTCCCATTGATTAGAACTGAAAACTTAGGGAAAGAAACACAAACTTTCATTCAGTTCCTCCATTTGCGGCTAAAGTTCATTCTCCCAAGAACAAAATCAAGATATCTCCAGTTTACATGCTCATACGCTTTCTCAATATCTAGTTTGCACACTAGATATTGGTGTAAGTGGTGTGGTAAGTCTAAGTGTGGTGATCTCCTTGAAGGACAAAGAAAGGCTAGGGATTTCGGGTAACAGAGGTAGGCAAGGATCTTCTATTGACAGAATCGTGTGTTTGTTATGGTTTATGCCCCCTTTTATAAGGGGAGATTTCGAGGCCCTGAAGGGAAGGAGCCAAAAAGGGGTTTGACTCCTATTTGGAAAGGGGATCTTCGATTCGGTGTCGGTTGTCAAGAGGGTGCTCTACTAGGAGTTCGCCACGTGTCACACGAAATCATTCCAGGACAAAGTTTCCTTTCGCCCGAGGATTCTCCTAGTGCATGTGTGCTACTTCCTTTCATGGGTCCCCTATGTTGACATGGCATGGATGATGTTAGAGCTAATCTGATGTGTTGGCCCACTTGCTTCGTCATCGACTAGTTGTTTTCTCACGAGTAGTTTTGGCTTGTTATAGACGCAAGACAACTTAAGTGTATCGTAAGTCCGCGATGTCCTTGAGCTCATTGCAAGTTTGTGATGAGTTATGGGCTCATCGCAGATCCACGTCGGCCTACGTGTTTCCATGGGTGTTTTTGTGGTTCCAATTTGATACCTTCATTCCAATCGCCGTCGTGGTGAATGACATGTACTTACACTTAGCCCCCCTGCTTATTGGTGGGTTAGGTTTAATCAATAAGCATTTGTGTCGTCAACACGTTTTAAAAGGCAATAATGGGGTGAGAAATTTGTTTTGAATTCGGGGATTTTTAATATAATGCGATTGCGAGTGCAAAGACTTTAACATGATGCGATTGGTTTGTATTTGTTTTGAGGTCCAACTCGATTCTTGCGTTATTAGCCCCCTATTTCTTGGAAGGCTTCTGTTGAAAGTCATAGGTGTCATTACTTTTCGTTTTGCACCCCCCATGACTTTTGACAAAAGGCTCCCTGGCAAGAAACATGTATTTGCCTGGGTAGGCTGTGAAAGTGTTTGAGTTTTCAATTTAAAAATGGTACATTGTGTTGGTATATTGTGGTGAGATTTCTTTGATTGACGGGGCGATAACCCCCAAATATTTTGGCAATGGGATGTTTGTGTCTAAGTTATTCTTATTTCAGTACTGGAGGTGTGGACTATCTCCCATATTTTGTTTACACTATGTACATATGTGACTCTTTTGCCGCACATGGTGTTGAATCCTATTGTCAGTCTGAGTTTTAATAATTGAGCGCTGATTGGCTGGTGGGTACGTCGGATAGTGTAGTGTGTAGCCATCGTTTAGGCTACGGGTACGAATGTTCCATGGTTATATTCGAATCATAGCGATTTTAACTCTCTTCTTTTTTTTTTTTTTTTTATTTGGGATGTTGACGTGACAATATGTCTCCCAATGGAAAGATGACGGGTAATCCGGGCAGCCGTCACTTCCCTGCGGCGTCGTTTTGGTTACCGGATAGTCTTTGAATCGTCTTTAAAAGCGGATTGGAAGGGTGGTCTATTCTCATTCATTTTCGTCTGAGTTGTTGTGCTTCCGTCATTGCAACTGCTTTGCTACCCTGTTTCCCTTATGCTTTCTGTGTTTTCCGTTCTGGGGTTCTTGCGGTGTTCTTGTGTTCGATGGCACCGTGTAAGCAATCTAAGGGTTCTAACAAAGGCGAGAAGTCTCGTAAACGAGAGAAAGTGATGAAGGAGGTATGTCCGTTCTTGGACTTTGTTCGGGAAGTAGATATAGCGGAGTTGCTTTTCGAATACAAGTCTGTAAGGGAAGCTGACACGGGAAGGGGGTTCTGGCCTCCGGTACTTGTGGCGATGGGTAAGGACAATACCTTCAACATCATT